GAAGTGCATGCAGAGAAAAGTCGGAACCTAGACAGCGCCCCACTTCATCCAAGAATCCAACAACCTCACGCCCTACGACGCCCCACGTCCAAACCATGACGCCTCTCATGGAGCCTAGCGAGGAAAAGATGGCGCCTCGTGGCGCCTCGTGCCATTGCCCCTTGTCCGAGAAAAGTTGGTCTCTTTGTTAGTTTTGGACTTGGACACTTCGATCATACCCTATAAATACCCCCTAACCTTGTTTTGGACGGGGTCAGACATATTTTGGAGTCAAGAAAGTCTACATAACACATTTGGAGTACGGAATTATCGAAATTTTCATCCTTTTCTCTAGTATTTGTTTTATGCTTCTAATCACTTTTGTGATTGTTCATATGACTATGAGTGGCTAAAACCCCTTTTGTTTTGGGGTTATGGGTAGTTCTTGATTGTTGATATTTAATGATTGTCAAGATTTCTTGATTATATCATACTGATTTGCTTATTCAGTCTTATTCTTAATTATTTTACTGTGTAGCTAACAATACAATATTATCTAAGAATCTATCAGCTCGAAAGTGGAACTATAGATTTCATATAGGATTGAATAGGGTAAGTTCTTGAATCTGCGCATCGAAGAACAGATTTGCGATTAGGATAGATATATGCTAATTCTCTTACTTGGTTATTATTGCAAGAATTTCACATGTGTTATAGTTGATTCTGATTCTATCGATGTATAATATTAGGTTGATGATAATAGGTGAATTGAACTATGATTAAGCCCTAAAAGAACCACTTTCTTGTAGAGTTTTTATGGTAAAAGTGATAACAAAATGCTCTTATTAGTGCTTTTTATGTTTTGCAGGTTACATACAATAAAAGAAGGCTATGGAGTACTTTTGGGATCAATTATGGAGGAAAAGAGGCCAATCGCATAAATATCCGCTAAGTGCACCATGTGAAATGCACAAATCAGAACTGGAGATGAACTCCCGCGGTCCCGGCGTAACCGCGGTCGGACCGCGGCGAGCAACTATTGCAGATTCAGAGAGGTCATTTGGCCGCGGTCCCAGCGTAACCGCGGTAGGACCGCGGCAGGCAGCAAAAAGTTGAGGGACTGAAGTGCAAAACACGGAATTCTTAGCCCAAAAACCCTATTTAAACAATAGAACTCGCCCAAGGGAGGCATGTAATATCTTAGAGAGTACTTTTGCAAGGAAAACAAGTGTGAGAGATCACCCAAAACATCATTACTCTTATTCTTCTTTATTCTTCTTGCAATTTATGATTATGAATCTTTTAGTAGTTTGTTTCCCCATTGTCATGAGTAGCTAAAAACCTTAATCTAAGGTTTTGGTGGAACCCGTTGGGGATGACTTGGTTGTTTTATTAATATAATTGAATTTGGTTGTTAATCTCTAATTGTTCATCTATGTTTTGATTGTGGATTAGTTGAAAGGGCCCTCAATTATCCGTTCCTATTTATTATGTATCTACTTGAGAAAGAGTGCATATTTAGGTGATTGTATGAACAACATCACTCCCGGAGTATAGACGAGAGTCATAACCGAGGGTTTAGGGGTTGGATTAGAGATAACGAAACCTCGGGTGCAATCTAAGTGAACTGTATTGTGAAATTAGCTAGCGTAGCTTGAGAGAGTGTGTCTAGTAGATTATCATAATTACTTGAGAAAGAATTATGATAGCTTGAGCGTTCATGATTGTTAGAGACAACTAAATCGTAGTTATAAGACATGCACAACCAAGGAAATTACCATCGGGGGAAACCATTGCCTTAGACTTTATTCCTACTGCTTACACATCAAGTTTAGTTAATTTTCAGCTGTTAATTACTTTCAGTCTTTAGTTGTTAGAAAATCAACCATTATGAATTAAAAAAGTTTGGGAAAACAGATTGTGTGAATTTAGTAAATCTGACAGTAGTGATTGATAGGTTAGTTCCCTGTGGTTCGACTCTGGGCAATAATACTCAGATTATATTTGCAACGCCCGCCTAGTCTTTTGTGAGACTCAGTTGAGCGTGATCAGTTGACTTGAATAGATGAGCGAGGCGTTTGAAAAAACTTCACGAGCAACATAAACCCTCTTAATCAAAAAATAAGATAGATTAAGTAGTTAAATAAATAAATAAAACTTAACAGGATAAACATTGATATTCGGCTTAAATTATGTATATTTATATGCATGTCGCCTCACATTTTACTCATATTTTTTGAAATTTGGATGTGAAACGTAATGATTTATTCTAATTTGTGGTATTATTATGTGTATGAGTCACCAGAAGGCTATGTGGGAAGAAAGTGCACGAATTGAAGCAAAAAAAGAACAAAAGAAGAAAATCAGTAAAGTGCAACGCCCAGGCCAGCGCCCTGCGCTGCCTGGGGCGCAACTTCCAGGTGCTAAACTTTTCCAGCGCTAGGGTTAGCGCCCCGCGCCACCCTGAGCGCTGGGTGATGGGAAGTCTCCTATTTCGTGCGGGACAAGGTTATTTCGGCCCTACACACCCCTAATCGTATAAAAAGAAGTCTAAACCTATTTTGGATGGGGGGACGCCACTTTGAGAGCAAAACACAAGCATGGAACACTCGGGAGAAAGGATTCTTAGTTTTTCTTCATCTTTCTTAGTATTTAAGACTACTCAACACTAATACATATTGTTTAACTTTATCATAAGTGGCTAAGAACCTCATTATTCTGGGGTTATGGGTCGTTATTGACTATTGTAGTTTGACGGTTGATTATTTTGCTTGGTTTATCATATTAATTTGTTTATTCAATCTTGCACTTAATTATTCTATTGTGTAGCTAACAATAGAGTACTATCTACAAATTTATAGTTGAACTCGAAAGTGGGAACTATAGATTGCATATAAGATTGAATAGAGTAAGTTCTTGAATCCGTGCATCAGAAAATAGATCTGTGATTAGGATAGACATATTCTAGTTGTCTCTTGGTTATTCTCGCAAGAATCTACATGCATTCTAGTTAATTCTAATTCTATAGACATATAGTATTAGGTTGGCTTGAATAGGCGACCGAAGCGCCGAAAGAACTTCGCGAGCATCATAAATCCTGCTAATCAACAAATTAGATAAATTAAGTGAGTAACTCAAATAGAAGAACGCAATAGGAGAGACATGAATCCCGTAATGCCGGAATATTCCAATCTCATTGAATTCTTGCTAAGTGTTTGTTTGCTCTACTTGCGATCTTATTTTCTTGTTTGCTTATTAGTTGCGTAGTAATTTAGTTAACAAAAATCACCATAATCTTCTTCACCACCACTTCAGAAGTAAATTTATAAATAGTTGAGATTGGAAAATAGTTGATCACAAATCCTTGTGGGAATGATACTTTCTCGTCACTTTATTATTTGTGACCACGTATGTGTGCGTTTGAACCCAACAAGTTTTTGGTGCCGTTGCGGGGATTCAGAAATTAGCTACTTGTCTGAAATAAGCTTTTATTTGTTTTTGTTTGAGATTTAATTTGTTTTGTTGTTCTGACTCTACATGTGTTCACATTGAATGCTAAGAAGAAGTAACAGTTTGAACAATCTTCCGCCTTTTGATCCTGAACCCAAAAGACTCTTCCATAGGTTAAGGAGGGAGGCGGAAGCAAGAGCAAGAACTGTAGAGCTGGATATTGTCGTCCAACCACAGCTAACCGAGATGGCAGAAAATGAAGAGAGACCAGTGATTGAGGCCGCAAGGCCTAGCCTCAGGAAAATGACTCAGGCTATCGTGAAGCCTGGTATAACTGGGCACTTCGAGTTGAAGCAGTACATGGTGCAACTAATTCAATCCACAAGGCTATTTGTGGGTTTGTCGAGTGAAGACCCCCAAAAGGCATGTAGAGAATATTTTAGAGATTACAGATACATACAACTATCCGAATATCTCCAAGGACTAAGTCAGACTGACTTTGTTTCCCTTTTCTCTACTGGGGGAAGTAAAGGAATGGTTAAACAAAGAGACCGCAAACTCGATCCAAACTTGGGATGATCTAGCACGAAAATTCTTAATCTACTTTTCCCCACTAAGAAGAAAAACGTGTTGAGGATCCAGATTCTTGGGTTTCAACAATGAGATGGTGGGACACTTCGTCAAGCTTGGGAAAGATACAAGAAACTACTCACAGACTGCCCCCATCATTGTCAGACTGATGAGGTACTAGGACATACTTTTGTGGATGGGTTGGACGAGACCTCCAAATTGAATCTAGACTCAGCTTGTGGAGGAAGTTGCATGCAAAAGCTATATAGTGAGATTCAGACTCTGCTGAACAATTTCACTGCAAACGATCATAACTGGAAGGGTGAGGGTGAACCAAGAAGGATGATAAAACAGAAAGCAGCAGGTACACTTGAAATAGATGAGGTGTCAGCCATGCAAGCAGAAATTTCTAAACTTACCAACCAAGTGGCTTAGTTGGCAATGAGTCAAGGGCATCATATGCATTACGTTCAGGGGATGGCCATATGTTCTGAAATTTGTGGAGATGGTCATATGAGTGACCAATGTCCGGTGAATCCTTAATCTCTTTATTATGTGAGCTAGAAAGGCAGAGGTCAAATGAACCAGAATACACAATATGGGAACACCTATAATCCCAAACTGGAGGAATCACCCGAATTTCTCATGGGGTGGGAACCAGGCCACTCAAAATCAATACAGGCCTCAAGGGAACTACAATCAGCCTGAAAAGCCACCCCAATAGGTAGAAGAAAGCACCAATGATATGTTGAAAAAGCTGTTAATTGACAACCAGCAGCTTCGAACAGACAACCAGCAATCGAGGACTGAATTTTGAAATATAGAGAGGCAAATTGGGCAGTTGGTTGCACAGCAAAATACTCGACCTGCAGAGGCCCTTCCAAGTGACAGATAAGAACTCAAGTAAATGTTGTAGCTCTAAGGAATGGTAGAGAATTGGAAGAAGTACCAAAAAGAAAGAAAGAAAACGTCACTCATAAGGGCGAACTAGTCCTCAAACTATGGTGGAAACTGAGAAAGAAACTGAAGAAAGTGAAAAGACTCCAAATGCAAGGCCACCACCTCCCTTCCCACAAAGATTAAAGAAGAAAATTGATGACAGGATGTTCGACAAATTTCTTGATATGCTGAGCCAAATTCAATTGAATCTCCCATTGGTTGATGTGTTACGTGAAAATCTAAAATATGCTAAGTACATCAAAGATATTGTGTCTAACAAAAGAAGATTGACAGAGTTTGAGACGGTGGCACTTACTGAAGAGTGCACCTCAAGCATTCAAAGAAAGTTTCCCCAAAAGTTGAAGGATCCGGGGAGCTTCACCATACCTGTTCGAATTGGTGAGGTACATATGGGAAAAACACTCTGTGATTTAGGGGCTAGCATAAATTTTATGCCCCTTTCAGTTTTCGGTCAATTGGGGTTGGGGGCCAAGGCCAACCACTGTCATGTTACAGCTTGCTGATAGATCTATTATCCATCTCGAGGGGGAGATAGAAGATATGCTACTACAAATTGGGCAATTTATTCTTCCAGCAGATTTTACTATACTGGACTATGAAGCTGATGAACACGTGCCCATCATCTTTGGACAACCTCTCTTAGCCACCACCGATGTTGTGATAAAGTTTGTGAAGGAAAAATGATTCTCCGGGTTGATAATGCGGAAGCAGCCTTTAATGTGTAGAAGGCAATTCAGCTGCCAAGTCACTATTAGGATCTAGCTATGATATCTGTGATTGAAAAAGAAGAAGAAAAAAATGATGTAGGTGCAAATCTGGATGACTCTCTAGAGAAAGCACTTATGTTGTTTGATAGAATTGGCTTGGATGATAAGGTGAAGGAGATGGTACATCATCTGGATGCATGTGCTAACATCAAAGGAATGATCGATTTTGAGCCTCTAGATAGACCAACTGGGCCACCCCCAAGCCGTCTATCGAAAAATCTCCCAAATTGGAACTCAAGCTCTTACCCTCTCATCTTCATTATGCTTATTTGGGTGCTGATGAAACTTTACATATTGTTGTATCTTCTGAGTTAAATATTTTGCACGAGGAAAAGCTACTACGCGTGCTTAGTGAGCACAAAAGGGCGATTAGATGGACCATGGCTGACATTCGAGGTATTCGCCCAGCATTTTTCATGCACAAAATTCTCATGGAGGATGGGCACAAACCGAGTGTGGAACACCAACGCCGCTTGAATTCAGTCATAAAGGAAGTAGTAAGAAAGGAAGACCAATGCTGAGAAGTGCTTTTCAAATTAATTAGTCAAACACAAATTGTTTCTCACCAAAAGTACTTTTGAGAAAAGCACTTTTGAGAAAAAATATTTCTCAAAATAAGCTAATTTTTGCAGCTTGGCCAAACAGGCTATTTGTATTCTACTTGGCCTACTTAATTAAAAAAGAAGGCAGGCATAATAAATGCCTATTTTCTCTGTTTTCAGAAGAGTATATGCTATCTTTAGAAGAGACGATAGAGCCCAACTTGAAAATGAATGTTCTTTTCCCTTCTTTACCTTTAAAGCAAGGTGAATACATTGCCTGTGGCGCAAGGTGAAAACAGAAAATGCCATCACTAGATTGCAACTTTTATTAACTTCTCTTTACTATTTTAATCTTGTTTATATTAAATCATCTCCACAACATTAAGAGTGCTGACTAATGATTATAGTAGTAATACTGGAAGAATACAAATAAAGCAATGTCGAAAGGTTAATTTAATAGAGAGATCGAATCAAAATTTACAATATAAAAGGTCGATGAATTAAAACCTAGAATACTATTATGAATTGTCAGTTGTATATATATATATTTATAACGTAAGAAGAATTTTATCATCAGTATCATCTGACAAGTCACAAAGATGGATGCCAGAAACTTTATTTTGCGTCTCGCAAGTTGTGTGTGATTTTTTTTGTTTTACAAACTCCTCCCTCCATTACTTTTATTTGTTCAGTATTCTCAAATAGATTTTCATTTTTACTTGTCACATTTAGCATATTAAGATAAGATAAAAAAATTTCTGTTATATCCACATTATTAATTACTCATTCTATATCATTTCCTCAAATCCATTAAAAAGATGCATAAATTAATATGGGTCTCTTGGTAATTTATGCACATCATTTATTATTTTTTAAGGGGTGTGCAAAATTCGTAGTGGACAAGTAAAACTGAAAGGAGGTAGTAGTGAACAGTGGACACTAATCTTACCCTTTTGGATTGCAAATTTTGACCCATTAATTTGTGAAAAAGAAAAAAGAAAAACTTACACAATTTGTGTGAAAGTGTAAGGCAAAATACCTTACCACTCTCCAAAATTACTAGTTACAGCCTTAAATTATTTATGGTCTTAATTACCCCCCTCAACTTGGTCTTTTGAGAGCTAGTACCCCCTTGAACGCTGATGTGGCAAAGAGTGTGGGTGCACTCGCGCTGCCACGTGGATTTTTCTGTATATGTGGCATTCTCTTGAAAAATAAAATATATCTTTACCTTTATAAGTATGTTACTTTTTTAGATAATTCTTTTCGAATACAATTTATAATAAAACTTGGATAGAACTATATTATTTAGGCTAAATTTTTTTTATTTGGCTAAAATTAATAAAACTTTAGTTAATCTTTTTATGAATTTGACTTGATAATAAAGAATTATACAATTGAAATAAATAGTCAAGGCATCTAACAAGTTATAAAAATACATAGTTTGAAATTAATTATTTTGGCTATAATTTTTTATATAGCTCTAAATTATGGTGCTCTAAAAATATACTTTTTACATATTTTACCTGAAAAAGTAAAACTATACAGTTGAAATAAATAGTCATTGCATCAAAAGTACTCCCTCTGTTTCATATTAGATGAGGTACTTTCCTTTTTAGTCTGTTCCAAAACAAATGACACATTTTAAAATTTGGAAATAATTCAACTTTAAACTCTTTCATTTTACTCATTTACCCTTAATGAGAAGCTTTTACAGCCACACAAATGTCATGGTCCCACAAACTTTTTACCCCTTAAGCTTTAAGACTACAAGTTCCAAAAGTCTTCTTCTTTTTTCTTAAACTCCGTGCCGAGTCAAACTACCTCATCTAATATGAAACGGAGGGAGTATATTTTTTTTTCAAAAAAATGCCACATATATAGGAAAAATCCACGTGGCAGGCGAGTGCACCCACACTCATTGCCACATCAGCGTCCAGGGGGTAATGGATCCCAAAAGGCCAAGTTGACAGGGATAATTAAGACCACAAATAGTTTAAGACAGTAACTAATAATTTGTGCCAGGTTTAGAGGGTGGTATGGTATTTAGTGTAAAACACCAAATAAAATCTTAAATATACAAAGATTTCATTTACAAGTGTAGTAAATGAAACCAATATGTTGACACGTGGTTGCCTGGCTAGGCCATTGTGTTAAGCATATATAACACAATAGTTTACCAGTTACAATGTGATCACCCGGCTGCTGATATTCTTCAAAGAACTTTTCAAACAATTCCCACCTACTCTTTCTAATTCTCTCTCTATATATGGCACGAATGTGTATGAAAGAGCAAAACCAGAAAGCGTGAAATTCATGTTAGAGAGATCGGTTGAGATGCGTTTGTTTGAAGCACGTCATTTTAGCCCCCAACTTAGTAATTTTTTGAGACTACTGAAAGCAAAACCAGTAGTATATGCACTTAGCAGATAAAGCACTGAAAAGAACGCAGGGAGCTAAAGCTAAAAAAACCTTGTTTACTATTTACCGGAACCGAGAATGCAGCTGATGTCATTTTTGAGGTCATCTCCTAGCAGCTCAAAGCGATCCAGTTACAGCCGGAACTTTGAAATGCCAGAGGATTCTACGGCGGAAACGTCGGAGCATGTTGGTGGCGCAATGTTGCCCATTTTCCTCAACGATTTACAGAGAAACAACGACAAAGACATAGTTGAGGTGAGGCTAGAACTTGATGATAATTCCATTGTTTTGTGTAGCGTAACACCAGCTTCACCACACAATACCAATGTTGCTGCTGCGGAAGAAGAACATTCTCCCAGCGGAATTCCGTCGAACAGCACGTATGCATCTGCCATCGCTTCTAGTATTTGCCGGAAATTCCAGTGGCTGAGATCACCGGAAAGGGATGATCACCATCATTTTCATGGCAACCAGCTGATGACGAATTTGTCGCCGCGAGAGGAGATGAAATCGAAATTGCAGGTGGTGAGGAATAAAGCGAGTGCTCAGCGCGCGCTAGGAGGGCTAAGATTTATAAGCAAAAGCACGAGAGAATCGGACATTAATGAGCTTTGGGGAAAAGTTGAGACGCGCTTCGATGCTTTTGCCAAAGATGGTTTGCTCGCTAGAGAAGATTTCGGTGAATGCATTGGTACCTTCAAATACTTTTTTTTTTCTTCCTTTTTTGGAACTGGCCCATTTAATTTAAAATATCTCTGATAATGGAGGAATCCCGACCATCTTAAATTTGCCGTTTCAAGCAAATGCTCTCTTTTCCTTGGGTCTCAGCAAATCACCAATGCCACTGCCGGATTCACAATGCTAACAGTGGATTTTAGTTTGTTTTAAAAAAAATGACAAATTTTACATTTAAAAACAATTCTAACTTTAAATTTCATATTTTAACCTATATCACCATAAATTTTTAGGAATATTTTATTACATAGGGGACGTACATAGTAATTATATATAGGAATATGTAATTTATAAAAATGTATATTTATATAGAATTGAGACAAAATTACAGAATGGTGGTGTATGTGCAGGAATGGCGGATTCAAAAGAGTTTGCGGTGGGGATTTTTGATGCATTGGTGCGACGACGGAGACAAAAGACAGCAAAGATAAATAAAGCAGAGCTTCACGAATTTTGGTTGCAGATTTCGGACCAAAGCTTTGACGCTCGACTTCAGATTTTCTTTGACATGTGTGTGCGTCTCTCCCATCTTCTATACTTTTCGGTTTCCACTTGTCTTCTTCTTCCCCAGCTTTTACTTGTTTGTAAGCGTGCATTCGGCTTTGCCACACGAAAGCTTTATCGTCCTCTTCTGTCAAATAAATTAGATTACCCACGTGCATTGAATTCTCGCCTGTAATATAATCTGATTCTCACAATCTAATACGTCAATAATCCCATTTTTCCCAAATCATACGAGAGGTAACAGGTAAATCAGAAAATTTTATACGCCTAGAAAGTACACTTAATCAGATTCTACTGATAAATGCCTTGAAGGACCTCAATAGCATAAGGTAAACTACATGTGATATTGGAGAATACGCCAATAATATACTCCCTCAGTTGATTTTTACTTCTCTAGTTCTATAAATAAACTTTTGCTTTTACTTTTCACTTTTAGCATGTTATACCCTAATATTAATTACTTATTTTAAATTATTTTCCCAACTCCATTAAAAATATGCATTATTTAATATGGGTATCATGGTAAATTATGTACTTTATTTATTCTTAAGGGGGAGTGCAAAGTCCATAGTGAACAAGTAAAAATGAACTGAGGAAGTAGAAAAAAACTTTTACATTGGTAATGTAACATTATAAGACCTGATTGGGTAAATTTTTCTTTTAGCTACGGCCTCGTACCCTTATTTTGGTCAATTTCAACAAGTTGACAATCCCAATAATCAAGTCTAACAATAAATTCACTCTTACTCTTAGGGCTTGTTTAGTACCAAGGATAAGGGATAATTATTCTCGAACTTAAATTTGAGATGAGGTTTATCCCCTGTTTAATTGACATAAAATCACAGTATAACTAACCACCGAATTAGTTATTTCGAAATTGTAATGTTATTTTTATCCCTATGAAAGGGTGAGGTAAGAATTTAGGAATAATTAATTTTAGAATAACTTGTTTCCCAACCAAAGAATCCCTAGCGTAGACACTTCTTCGTGCAAACATTTATTGTTGTCTAATAATTTAACTGTTTCAACTCTCAATATTTTGAAGACCATGTTTTCGTGTTTTCATTGTAGGGCTGATAGCAATGGAGATGGGAGAATCACGAGAGAAGAAGTTCAAGAGGTAAGATTATCATTGGTTGAACTTTCTCAATCAAAACAAGAAAAAGGTGAACTGCGAACAGAAAAAACAAAAAGAGTGGTTACGTTTTGGTCAGACCATATATTACTTGTGTAATTTCCATCAGGAATAGGGGCCTCTTAAATTATTCGGAAAATACAAAATCCTATTTATGGGTTCGCTGCGTAATATTCCATCCGGTCCATTTTAGTTGATTTTTTTAATCTATGTTTTAGGTTCACAATATTTTATTTTTTCCGATATCAAAAATGAATTAACTTGTTTTTTTTTTCCAAAGTTGCCCTTGTGGAAACAACTTCTCTATCTCCACGAGATAGGTATAAAATATGTACACATTACCCTCCTCAAACCCCACTATGTGAGATTACACTAGATTGTTTGTTGTTGTTGTTGTTTCTAAAGTTGCCCTTGGAATAAAAAGCCTATTAATATTTCTTATATTTCCAATGAATAAATTAAGGTTAATATGGTCAATTTCATTATGAATTAATGCTAAAAGGTAGATTCCTTAATATGTGTGAAAACGATAAAAAATCAATTAAAGTGGACCGGAGGAAGTAGTATTTGTAAACCAATTCCGCAAATTTCATCCATGGATAAGGGTAACAAAAAGAATTCCACAATCAAGTAATTACCAGTAGTTATATATAGTAAGTTTAAGTAAAAAGCTCAAGATGAAGTAACTCACTGTTGAGCATGTACAAATTCTTACATTTTGAATTATCACTATTCACTAATCTTTTTCTTCTTGTTCCTTCACCAGCTGATAATGCTGAGTGCTTCAGTAAATAAGCTCTCCAGATTGATGGAATGTGCAGCAGAGTATGCTTCTTTAATAATGGAGGAATTAGACCCAGAAGGTCTCGGTTACATTGAGGTATATAACAAGAGAAAAAGAAAGTTCGTACCTACCTTCTATCTACTAACTTGCCCTCCTTATTTCCCAAGAGTATTTAAGCATAGGCATATTTAGGATTTTAAGTCATTTGCAAAGTGCTACTGCAAACACAATTTCTCCATATTTATTTGGGTCCTGTGTATATACATTCCAAATACTTTCAACTATATATAGTTTGAGACAAAGACAACTGTATTTTGCTACCAATAATAACGAAACAGAGACCTCATCTCGAAGCTTCTAGCTCTAAATCATAGGAAATCCAAGCATAACCTTGGATTTGCCTCCAAATAAAAGAAAATTATCTTCTTAAGTTTCTCCAACTTAATACCAAAGAAAGAACAGAAAGTAATTAACATTTTCTCCTTTTCTTCTCGAATCATTGCTTGAATTTATCACTACGAAACAGCCTACGTATAATGCAGCTTCAAGTTCAAACAACATCAGAATACTTCCACTATGAACTATCAAATCATCATTTTATCTAGGCATTAGAACATACAATTAAGCATCAGCACAACACAAATGTGTCTATCTAATTCATGTACCAACTGGGTTAGAATTGCTAGTGATAAGATCTCTTTATGTGCCTTTTCATTCAGTTATGGCAGTTGGAAACACTTCTTCTACAAAGGGACAACTACATGAGCTACAGTAGACCTTTAAGCACAACAACCCTTGAATGGAGTCAGAACCTAGGATTCAGCAAGACCAACATCATAGTAAAGAAAGCAAGTTGTGCCCTCAAATGCCTTGTCTTAGAAAACTGGCAGAGGGGCTGGATTTTGCTGCTATGGTTGTCGGCGATGACTGCACTTTTCACTTGGAAATTCTTGCAGTATAGGCAAATGGCAGCATTTCAAGTTATGGGTTACTGCTTGGCAACAGCTAAAGGAGCTGCAGAGACTCTCAAGTTTAACATGGCACTAATCCTTTTACCAGTTTGTCGAAACATATTAACTAGGTTACGGTCAACAAGAGCCAGGATACTTGTTCCATTTGATGACAACATCAATTTTCACAAGGTAAACACAGCATACCTGAGTTTCTTCTGAATTTGTCAGTAGTATCATATTCTTCTTAACTGTGTCATCAACTTGGCAGATTATTGCACATGCCATAGCTGTTGGCATAATACTTCATGCAGCCAACCATTTAGCGTGTGATTTTCCCCATCTGGTTAACTCATCGCCAGAAAAATTTGCACTCGTAGCTTCTGATTTTGACAAGTTAAAGCCAACTTACAGAAGCCTTTTGATTGGTGTTGAAGGCATAACTGGTATTTCTATGGTAACTTTGATGACTATAGCCTTCACACTGGCAACACGACGCTTCAGGAGGAGCACACTGAAGCTACCATCCCCCCTGAACCGATTAACGGGCTTCAACGCATTTTGGTATTCTCATCACCTTCTGGCATTGGTCTACGTATTGCTAATACTACATGGAACATTCCTGTTCTTTGTCCACAAATGGTATCAGAAAACGGTACGGATTATGAAGAGAATTAGTACAACTCGAACATTAAATTTAATTACATTTTTCCATTGATTATATGCCAACAATGTGTCGCTGATAACTATTGCAGACATGGATGTATATCTCCATTCCCTTAATCCTCTACATTGCAGAGAGGAGTTTAAGAATATGGCGCTCAGAAGACTATGCAGTTAAGATCTTGAAGGTAAGTTACTAATGAGGCCTTCACCTCTGGCGAACTAAAAGCAAGATACTGATACATATGGGTAAATATATGAAATTCATTAACTACTTGTATTCTTGGGAAAATACAAGCAACTAGCCCCAAAAGTTAAACTGTAAAACCACCTAAAAATATAGAGAGAGGAAGATCAAGAACAAAAATAGGAGGAAACAAATGAAGAATTGATTTTCGGACCTTACAGGTTTCTGTACTTCCAGGAGATCTCTTAAGCTTGATCATGTCAAAACCAGATGGCTTCAAATACAAGAGCGGCCAGTACATATTCCTGCAGTGCCCAACAATATCCTCATTTGAATGGTAGGTATGGCTGTTACACATTCAAGCTGACTTTGTTCCACCAACAGGCATTAAACGTACATCTCAACTTTTCTCCAGGCATCCATTTTCTATAACATCAGCACCAGGAGACGACTATCTCAGTGTTCACATCCGAATTGTAGGTGACTGGACAAAAGAACTTAAGAGGGTATTCACAGAGAATAGAAGTTCAGCATGTGTAGTTGGTCGAGCAAAGTTTGAAGAACATGAAAATGTTGATCAAAGAGGGTAACTTTACCTGTACTTCTGACCTGTCAAACCTACATCAAGATTTCCCTTCTAAGGTCCAAAAATTCTATGTATGACGCAGCTTACCTCGAATGCTAGTCGATGGACCCTATGGTGCCCCAGCACAAGACTATCAAAATTATGATGCCTTGCTTCTTGTAGGACTTGGTATTGGAGCTACACCTTTTATAAGTATCCTAAAGGATCTATTGAACAATACAAGACCACATCAAAACGTACTAAATCTTACTTCATCATTAAATTCAAAGCAATATGTTGAAATCTAGGCTCCAACTAAATATCTTTCTTCCATGCTGCTGTTTCAGGATTTGAATACTGAGACTAGCGCATCAGATGATAGCTGGACAAGTTTTGTCTCTTCAAGCACAACATCAAGTGTAAAAAAGAAATCACAAAGGATAAGAAGTGCACATTTTTACTGGGTAACCAGAGAACCTGGATCCTTTGAGTGGTTCAAAGGAGTGATGAATGAAGTTTCAGAGATGGATCACAAAGTAGTAGACACATACTTCTTGATAGATATCCTTAAACTGCCCACCCCTCTTCGCTCCTCCTAATTGGAATTCTATGTTGGTCTATTTTTGTTAATTGACTCAGTTATCTCCTGTATTCTGGTAATGGAACAGGGTCTGATAGAGATGCACAATTATCTAACGAGTGTTTATGAAGAGGGTGATGCCAGATCAACTCTCATCACCATGATCCAGGCACTTAATCACGCAAAACATGGCGTTGACGTCCTGTCTGGCACGAGGGTATGATCCATCACTACCCTCTCCACAGATTCTCAAAGAGAAATGTAAAAGAAAAAACAAATTGGCAAGTAAATGAAAAAGAAAATAAAAAGGTGTTTGGCTTAGCTCATTGACTTAATTCCAGCCAAAAAAGAAACGGTTTTACTACTATATAGCTGCCAAACCTTTATGAAAGGTCTTCAACAATAGAACAGAAGATAGTAAGACTGCAATTCAACAGTACTGACACCAAAACAAATTATATTGCAGGTGAGGACACATTTTGCAAGGCCCAAATGGATGGAAGTATTCAAGAGAATAGCTTTGAAACATCCCTATTCGACAGTAGGTAAAGAATTTCTACAATCTCAACAATGATAAGTTATTAAGCATGGGCAGTTCCAACAAATGATGCTTCCTACCTGATTTTGCTTGATCCCTTCTAGAGCTAATGGTCACAAGCCACAAAAACGAAACAACCTTGTTCCAATAAATATCATTACATAGTAGAGACAAATAATAATTAATATAAAAATTATATACAAGCATGGAGAAGAATCTAAAAATGCAGCAATATTTGCTATATCCAAAGAATAACATGGTCGTTGATTAGACAAAGATAGTGGACAGAACTCTACAATGATAACACATCATCAAGCGGTTTAATAGCATCCAATATTCAATGGGGACTCATATCTTAAGTTTCTTTAGAAAGGCATAGGTCAGCTGTTCTAGAAGTCATGGATAGTAACTTTTGTACTTCATGAAGTATTCAAACAGTTAAATCAACTAATAGCAGAAAGTATTTAGCTTCTTAAAGCATTTAAAAGGTGGAACATCCAACCAGGCACTTCCCAGTTAACATTGAATATTCAAAATGAAAAGTGAACAGAAATAGAACCACAGCCAAAAAACAAAAGAACAACTAAAAATTAAAAAGAAAAACTGCAAAATGAAACTGGAGATTAAAAATAATCAAAGTAGATTCACTAATAAAAAGATTTGCAGGAGTCTTCTACTGCGGGATGCCTGTCTTGGCAAAGGAGTTGAAGAAGCTATCACAAGAATTAACTTACAAGACATCCACGCGTTTCGAGTTCCACAAGGAGAACTTCTGATGTTAGAAATTTTCACTTATAAGCCAAGTGGTTTTTTCCCTTTTAATTTTGTAAGTATTTTGTGGTACATGTACATGTATACATCGATTCGGAGAAATGCAAATGCAAGTATCAAACAGGATACTATGCTGAAAGAGAGTTCTTTCACTAGAAGACTATAAATTTCATTAAAGTAACCATTTCACAGAAATGCATAAGAGCCATATTATTGTACCATCATGCACATCTCATGTGCTGCATGTCAAGAATGGTGTATCAAATTCTCAGAGCATTTGCAAAGATCAATAAGTTGCAATTGTTAGGACAGCCAAAGACAGTTACAGAAAGAGGGGCAAGAGCAATAATAAGGAAATAAGAAGAGGGACATCTGCTTCGTTCAGGCACAAAGTTACAAGGCATTCATAGTATCAAGGTTTCTGAGCAGCAATAGGATGTTTCTTTTGTTATTTGTACATAAAATTTGTGATTGCTAAAGGTAAGTTTGTTCTTGTGTATAGTCATTAGTAAAGCCTGCTGATGTATTTCTATCTATTTTTGTTTCTCTTTTTCATTCTGTCAAAAGATAAGTCCAATGACGTATCTGAAATTACACATGGAAGACCCTTATCAAAAAAATTACTAATAGAACAGAGCAATCAATCAGAAAAGCAAAAGGATTTTTTTTAAGAGATCGAATACAGCATCATAACTTTCTGAACTTCCATGAAGAACTCAAGTAATTTGTATTATCTTAGAAAGCCAATGTACTCTTCTTATATCAAATATTCCATGATACATTCAAACAAAATTTCTCTACAACACAGAGAAAATTAGTATCATCACACTTGGACATTTGTCATGCGTAATTGATAATAGAATCACAACCTACCTACCAAAAAAGAAAAATCATAAACTCTACATCTCAGAAAGTTATTCATCCTTCAATCTCCTGAGAAGTTTGGAAGCCCATCGCCGCACCCTACGCTTCAGTGTATAGCCAACAAATACTCCAGCAACAAAACAAATGGCACAGATTTTTGAGCAAGTCCACAATGATACCACTTGTCTGCAGAAAAAGATGGACAGAACTTTCCATATGAAAATCACAGCATTTTCATTACTATCTACATCTTTTGCAACAAGACACTAAATAAATTGATCACATGTACATGATTAATGCATTGGTCACATGGTGGAGGCTTGGATTTAGTAAGGGAAGATCACTTAAATGGAAACAGACCTTTTGATATTGCAAATAAAAGAGTTGCAAAGTTTGGTTAGCTGAAATGCAAAAATGATCATGAATAAGGTGTATGATATTAATAGCAAACTTGAATATGGACTTCCCATCTTGGAAGTATAGCGTTCAGGTACCCATTATATCTCTCCCCCGTTCACGCATATAATCAATCATATCAATTAACTACCTCAATCCTAAACTAGTTGGGGATAGCAATATGAATTTATACCTTTCTCTATTTGCGCCCGTTTCAGAGTGGATCTGATAATTGTTATGAGACACAACGTCTTGTTGACGAGTTCTGTAAGAAGACGGGAAAAGACTATGATAAAAAAAAAAATGAAAAATCATTGGGATTACATGAAAGGAGAATGGACACTTTTTAAGCAGTTGATGAGAGGGGAGACGGGGTTAGGATGGGATGCCACGAAAAATACGATTATGGCAGATGATGATTGGTGGGAGCGAAAAATTAAGGTACATCTCTCACATTATCATATGTGTAAAATTTTTTTGTCATTGTTAATTTTATCTGTTTGATTAAAGTAGTTTTTATTTTCTTTTTACAGGAGAATGCAAAATATAAGAAATTTAGGAACAAAGATCTTTCGCTCATATGGTTTCGCTACGATGCACTGTTTGCTGATGTTGTTGCCATAGGAGAAAGAGCACGTGCAGCAAATCAAGAACAATCATCGGGCATTGGACTTAATCTCGATGAAGAAGGGATAAATGTTATTGATGATTGTGACAAAGAACACTTCACTTATCTTAATGATGAAATGAGCGATGAAAGTGATGATCTACAGAATATAAATTCTGTTGTGTTTCCAGAGCCATCACTAAAAAGACAAAAATCAACTGATGGTGTTACTAGCAGTAGTCAAGTAAGAAAGAGTAAGAAAAAAACAGCTGCAACATTAATAAAAGAGGATATACACTCTCTCATAGAGTTTATGTCTAGCAAAAGCACAGCTACATCTCCTGCAGTTGATGAGACATCCATCGAGAAGTGTATTGGCACGTTGGGACAAATTCCTGATATTCTAGCTGGGAGTGAAATTTACAGTTTTACTATGAATATGTTCCGCAAGAAAAATAATCGACAGATATTTTTGGGGATGCCTACTGATGAAGCTCGCAAGTGTTGGTTGGAGTTTAACTACCAGTTATACCTTAACAAAAATGGATAATATATCGTTATGGTTGAGTCTTTATTATGGTTTTGTGTGTAAACTTTATTATGGTTTTATGTATTTAGATGTTGTGATTGTATGACTAAACTTTTATTAAATTAAAGATTTTGTTTGTTAAGCTTTTAACTAGCTTCAGTTGTAAAGCTTTTAGTTAGCGTAAATCTTATGTCAAATGTTTTAGTTAGTAGCTTATGTTAAATGATAAGCTTTTAACTAGGAATGCTTCAGTTGTAATGCTTATGTTAAATGCTTCAGTTAGTAGCTTATGTTAAATGCTTCAGTTACTAGCTTATGTTAAATGATAAGCTTATGAATTTGTAAAGCTTATGTTAATTCATGTTCTGGAAATGCTTCAGTTGTAAAGCTTATGTTGTAAACTAGCTTTTAACTAGCTTCACTCCTCCAGTTCTTTTTAAATTCCACAACTAATCATTGGAATGCATTTGTAAAGCTAACGGTTAACTCCTCTTTACTTATGTTTTTATTTTCAGTTAAATGGAGAGTTCAAACTCTAGTGACATAATAGATCCTTATCCAAGTTATTCGTCAGACGATGAAGATGAAGAAGAACTGGAGGAAATACAGAGGGAGCAAGATGAGAAGGAATGGACTGCTTTATGTCAAATAGCAGGTAAATTGATATTGATGTATTACAAAAAATACCTATGCAAGGAACCTTGCCGTACATCTAGTCGCTCTGGAAATGCATTTATTCAAGAGATATTAAGAGGAAACGAGACTCGTTGTTATGAAAATTTTCGATTGAGAAGTCGGTGTTGTTGATCTATCGAATGACTTAACTGAAAATTATGGGCTTAAACCCACACGTGGAATGTCTATACACGAGATGTTAGGCATGTTCTTGATGACTTGTGCACATGGAGCTGGAAATCGATTGATACAGGAAATCTTTCAACATTCGGGAGAAACAATTCATAGACACTTTCATAGTGTTTTAAAGGCGATTTGTGAGCTTGCAAGANGTCATTGAAAAAAATAAGGAAACGGGTAAATTAAAATTAAATTAAAATATAAATTATTTTTTGAAAAACGTCATTAACATACTATTGAAAAACAAATACTCTTGACAAACAAATAAAAAAAACTATCTTAAGTAATTATTTAAATTAAAATATAAATTATTTTTTGTTTGCATTACTTATGAATCAAGTATATTGTAGTAATCAGCTCCTTTTATAATGTTAACAGCTTTAAGGATATTTCTGTCTTTTTAACAGAAAAAAGTTCTTACAAGCACTTGTTTACCAAACACTTCAACAACTTTTTTTAAGCTTCAGCACTTTTATCCAAACAGGTAACTGCTTATTTATAAAACAAGTTTCAGCACTTAAAAGCTGCTGCTTAAAAGCTACTTTTTTCCGGCTAATCCAAACGGGCTCTAGTTCTACTTTCTTCGTTTATCAAGAGCACAAAGAAATCTTTAATTTCTTAAAACAGTATTAATCAGATTGGTAAAGAGATTATGAGAAATGATAATAGCGAAAAAACCATTTTTCTCCGAAGTGATTTGGAACGAAGTGGGCTTCTGGTCCCCTTACAAAAAGTCGATGTTTCGTATATAGAACTCATTCAGTTACAGGATAGCTAAAATCTCCTCCGTAACAGTACTTTTATGAAGTTTCTAAAAAAAATTATCTTAAGAAAATTAAAGAACCCACGTCCCAGTTGAGACCAAAATAACATGCTCTGTTACTCTGAACCCCTCCATTATCATTGGGACGGAGGGGTATTGTTAAAAAATTTCAACTATAATATATATTTCGAGTTGAAGGCACACAAGAAATTTGAAAAAAAATAATAAGAAGTAAACAAGAAACAGAGGAAATTGAGGGAGAAATACCTAGGAGGCCGAGCAAGCAAGAGCTGAGACTGGTCAGCTGCCGAAACGGAACCAGCCCCAGATGATTTTGAGCTCGACTTTTCAAGAACAGCAGAAATTGAGCTTAAGTTGCTATCTCCATCATGTGACAACGATCTGCGAAAAACACCCTTCAACCCCTCCATAAATAGAGAAATTGGGTTTGTATAAATGTTGACCAATTTGGTATTCCCTTTCGACTCTTTCTAGGGTTTTAGGACTTTGGAGCTCTGGTTTAAAAATAGAATTGGGACTCGCCCCGGGGCGGAGCACTCCTAAAACTTACGTCTCGGCTATCGGGGCTTACGCCCCGGACACGCCCATCGCCCCAGCGTACTGGGCTCGCCTAATAGAACTTTATGCAATTATATGTAATTAACCTTGTAAATCCTCAAATTTTCTTAATAAATCGTTGACTATTCAGAATTACTTTTTTCCTAATTGTAAATTATTAAGTTGAGAGTATTTACGTCATAATTAAAATAAAAATTATTGCACGTTAACCGCTAAGACTGCTATAAAAGTAAATTTTAAATAAATCTTTCATTTAAAAGTATTTATTTATTTACTTTTGTTATGTCTTTATCGTACTAGTACATAATTTTTTATAATTATTTCCTAAATATTATTGTTTTGACGTTTACGAGATACAATACTTATTAATTTAATAGCTCAGTATTAGCTAGTAACTATTTACAAACAATTAGTTATCATGGTATCGTATGGTGAATTATGTGTCACTTTATTAACTTGTTGAAACTTACAAATGAATAATGCTTGAGAATCATATTTAAATTGTGAATTATATTTTTATATAAATTCTCTTTCAAATAGAAAGCATATTAAATAAAAGGAGTATTTTAAAAAAAATATCAAATTATAATATTGAATTCTTTCAAGATTCGGTACTCCTTAAGAGATACATATAAGATTTCGTATCGAATATGTTACTTTTGATGTTTGAGTTGTAACGACGTTACAGCTAATTTGCATATTATGATATATGTCATACTTTTCGTATTATTTGTAGTTGAATTATAATATATAAATATTTTAAATAGATTATTTGTTATATTTTTGTGATTTTAATGTAATTTTTATAATTATTTTTTATTTTATACTATCTTATAATTCTTGAAATTAGTAAAATGTGAAGATCCGTGGGACTTACGCCCCATGTCTCAGGGCTTACGCCTCGCCTCGTCAGAGGTAAAACGCCTCGCCTCACGCCCCCGCCTTTTAAAACATTGCTTTGGAGTGTTTTTCACGACATCTTGCTCTCCTATTTTTGTGCTTAAGGTTTAAGAATTAAGAGGGTGTTTGGGTGTGTTTGAAAACCAGTCAAATTAACTTTACTAAAAAAGATCAATATTTCGAACCGACGGGAGGAGTAATATTTTAGAAATTTTGGCCTGAAGGTTGATACCTTATTTATTTTAAATAAGTATACTTTTAAAAAATTATATTTCATAGCTACGTTTTGATTTATATAGCTAAATATCTATTTATGATCACCTCTTGAATACCCTTAAGCCATAAAATACGTTTTGTCTTATTTTTCTCTCTCATTCTTTCAGATTTTTCTTCAACCTTTCTCTCTTAACGCCAGTCTTTCTCCTGAATGCAACCATGATTCTCCATTGATTCATCTCTATTGTCGAACGAAATTTTCATTATTAGTGGCCTGGGGCTCTGAATCAATGTCGAAATCAAGCCCTAAAGAGAAAAATGGAGGTTCGAAATCTGCTATTGAAAGGTAAGTTGGGGATGACAATGAAAATTTAGCAGATTGTGCAATGGACTTTGGTAAAGGGACCACCGGGGCAAAGCCGGTCATCGTATCAAGGTTAATCATAAGAAGATTGAGGTCGTTCAAAATTGGCCTAGACCCACTTTAGCTACACAGATTTGGAGTTTCTTGGGTTTGGCGGGCTCCTATCGCACTTTGTGAAGGGATTTTCATCTATTGCAGCCTTATTTACCAAGTTGATTTAGAAGGGTGCTCTTTTCAGATGGTCTGATTAGTGTGAGGAGAGCTTTCAAAAGCTCAATACTGCTTTGACTACAACTCCACTGTTGGTATTGTCTATAGGTTTAGGGCCTTATATTGCGTATTGTGATGCTTCGTGTATTTGACTTGGCGCAATATTGATCCAAGATGGTAGGGTGATTTCCTACGCGTCTTGTTAGTTGATGATTGATGAGAAGAACTATCCCGTGCATGATTTGGAGTTGGCAGCTATTGTGCACGCGCTCAAGATTTGGAGGTACTATTGATGGTCGTGGTGTTAACCTTCATATTGCGTTATGGCGCAGGTATTTTTGAAAGGAATTTTTAGGGTAAATTGGGGGTGACAATGGAGGTTCGAAATCTGCTATCGACGAGACGACATTAGGGTTATTCTTGAATAAAGACGGCGGAGTTTGGGGGCTGAGCAACTTAAAGAGTCTGTTACCTTTTTTTTTCATTGTATTTCAATATTTTTCGTTGTATTCTATGTATTTTATTGTATTCATTATCTTTTTTTTCATTGTATTTCAATGTATCTCACTGTATTCCATGTATTTCATTGTATTCACTGTCTCGCTATATTCCATGAATGTATTCATATATTTTTTTTAATTAATATAATTTATGTATTCAGATGTATTTATGTATTCAGATTTATAATTGAGTTTGTTGAGTTATATTAGGAGTCTATTTGTGTTAATTGATTCACTTTCCGTTTAAAAATAGCTGATAGACCACGATTTACGCTATTTATGTTACTGTATTCACAAATACATATCGTGAATACAGTCGAATACAATAATTGCCTAGCTGTACTCCCCTGTTTCACGTCGAGTTTTGCTACTGTATTTATGAATACAGTAGCTTAAATACATCGAATACACTCTAGCAAAACTAAAAACATAGCTATAGGAAGTAATATAGTAAATGGTAGGTACAGCTAGCTAATAACCACTAAACAATAGTGGTTTGTAAAAATTTCTCAATATTTTACTGTCGGCTGAATCAAATGTTGAGTTAAAGAGTGATTTCTTTTCTTTTTTTTAACTTTTACTTCAAAAGAAATTATTATACCTCTAAAATATGAGTAATATTTAGAAATGAAATCACTTATATTGACTTATTAGAGAGAACATCTTCGATGATTACATAACAAAAGAAATGTCTTCATTTATAAAAGATATCTTATGAACTTTTAACTTTAGAAAAATATCAAAATAAAAGTTTATTGTTATGCAATAAAAGTAATTCAGTAAAACATAAATAAGAAGCGGAGATAGAAAGAAGGAAGAACTTTTCTTCTTCAATTGTGTACTTTTACCCATCTGTTACAAAGCCTTTATATATGCATGAAAAGTGAAGAATCACTATTGTAAAATAATGAGAGGAATGGCTACTACAGAGTAAATAATGGGGCTCAGCATGGGCATCCATAACTATTATTTTCAACACTCCCCCTAGGATGTCCATGTTAAAAATAAAATTTCAAGTGAAAGGAAAAGAGCACGTATCTGTTGTTATACGCATTGTGTGCTGCCTCACTAAAAACCTTACTAGGAAAATCCTGTGGGACAAAACCTTGGTTAGGAAAAAAAGAGTGCAGCGCGTAGTTACTCCCCTGATAAAAACATCATTTAATGTCTCGAAGACGACGCATCCCAATCTTGTAAATTGAAAGGTTTGATAAGGTTCGACACGAGTTTTGGAAGTTGAAAGATTCAAAGTTCATTAAGTTCGATTTGAGGTGCGATTCGTGATTTTGATGTTGTTATGCGTGATTTGAGGCCTCGAGTAAGTCTGTGTTATTTGTTTGTATGTTCGAACGGGGTCCTGAGGGGTTCGGGTGAGTTTCAGATAGGTTTCGGTTGTGTTGCGCTCGTTTTTTATGTTTCGACGTCATTTTTTCAAGCATAAATGGCACCACATTAAGCAAATGAGCTCCAATTTCTGTTTGATTGAATCATTAGATCTGTATCGTAATTTTAAAACCATAGCAACTGGAATCATCAAGTTTTGACTTCGTATGAGGAATTTATGGTCATTTTACTAAGAATTGGGTCGCATGATTTTTTTCAGATTAATTATGAACTTGCCACTGAATTCGTATTTAAAATCTGCACTGTTTCCAAATATTGAAACCAACATATCTCCTTCATTGTAAGGTCAAATGGAGTGACTCAAAAGCCTAACTTGACTGGAATTCTACAAAGAATCCATTGGAGGGATGAAAAGCAAGTTTCGAGATCTTTTGGCACAAAAAACGAGGCAAAACAATAGGTAGAAACATATAATATCGAGGGTTTGTTCATATTTTGAGTTGGGAAGCTCGGATTTGGGTGATTTTGGAGGCGATTTTCACCATATGGATTGGGGTAAGTGTTCTACACTCGGTTTTGGTTATATTTCATGAATCCATCTTCATTTTTGGCATTTGACTGAGAATTTCAAAGTGAAATTTGGAGGTTTTTATCTAAAATTCACAGTCGGATTCAAGTGAAACTAGTATGGTGGGACTCGTAATTGAATGCGTTGTCGGATTTTATGACTTATGTCAGGTTCCGAGGTACGGGCCCGGGTTTAACTTTTTGGTTGACTTTGGACTTTTGATTAAAGATTCTACCTTTATCGATTGAGTTTGTTTCCTTAGGCATTATTTGATGTTCTGAGTTGCTTTTGGCTAGTTTTGAGCCGTTCGGAGGTCGATACGCGCGGGATTGAGTTTCTAGAGTATTGTTTGGCTTGCTCGATATTGGATTTGGCTTGTTCGAGGTAAGTAACACTTCTAAACTTGGTGCTGAGGGTATGAACCCCCGAATCTACATGATATGTGTTTGGTGTTGAGGTGACGCACATGCTAGGTGACGGGCGTGTGGGCGTGCACCGGGTGAATTATGACTCGATTGATTATGTGGTACTATGTAGTTATCTATCTTGTTTCTATCTATGAAATTCTTACGTGCCGGAATAATTAAAATGTGATCCTTGTTAGAGCCCATGCTTAGGCTATATGCTTATCCTGTTGGGATCCACGGAGGTCATTTCTGCTGTTGAGTTATTTGCTTAAATTGCAATTATGTATTCAGTCGCATTCATCATTTGCATATCATATCTCAGTCTCTGTTACCATTTGTCTCACATCATATTATCATTGTTTGGCTGATTGGCATGAGTTTGTGAGGCCGAGAGACTGGAGAGGATTACTTAGCCTACAAAAATTTTTGGCATACTT